CCTCTTCTAGGGGAGCCCAGCCCCCCCCCCATATCCCTTCTGGAAGAGATTCCCCAAACCCCCCCCCCCTTCCCTGCACCCCGTTCTTCTGCCTGCCTGCCTTGCAAGGTCACGGAGCTTCCACTTTCCTGCCCCCCTTCCTCCTCCCCCCTGCAAATGTTACATGAGATCGTCCATTTTTGGAGGGTTTCTTGTCAGACCCCGATCCCCCCCCTCAAAAAAAAAGCAAAAAAGGGGGGGGAGGTTAGAGAGAAGGGGGGGAGAGAAAGGATGGTTGTGCTGTTGTATTGCGTGGTGGTGTGCAAGGTCGAAATCTGGGCTGCAGCAGCTGCATTGTGATCCACCCCCACCCCCCCCACACACACACACCTCCATGGAAGAAGAAGAAAAACAAACCCCAAGCTGTGCTAGAGGAGAGAGATAAGGTTTTTTTTGCCCCTGCCCCGCTTTCTTCTCCTAAGGAGGTTCAGAGGTATTCTAAGAAAAAAAAGGGGGGGAACCCACACCAGAGAGAGAATCAAGCAATGGATTCGCTCAGCATCCTTACAGGCTCTTCCTGTGTAAAAAAACTTTCTAATGGCAATATTTGTTTATCTGGGCTGCTGTATTTACTAGATAAGCCACCAAAGGAAGCTGCTTTTCTCTCTCTCTCTCTCTTCCCATTTTGATTTGGGAGCCGGATTTGGGACAGCGGTTAGGATCTGTCGGGGCTCAGGCCTTCAGTATGGCAGTAATGCTGCAGTCCAGTCCAACTGGTAAAGGCTCTCCGGTCTGCGAAATGTGGTTGCACGCCTGCATTAACTGTAATAAAAAAAAATATTCTGCTTGCTGTGGTGTTTTTCTTCAAGGGTGCTTTTAAAGACATGGTGTGACACCGCATGGACGGCGCATCTGTTCTCAGCTGTTGCTGTGGATTAAAACTCCTGTGGCTGTGATTGTTAATGGCTGAGGTTGTGGGTCCTGCTGGCTGAGAAGGGTGAGAGCTGTAGGAAAGCATACTTGGGGGGCACTCCTCTGACAGTAGCCAATTGCAGAAATTGCAGTGGCTTTTTATGAATCCAGTCTCTAAATCCATCAGCCTTTGCCTTAATCTTCGGGATGGGAAAAGGAGTATAATCTTCTTGCTTCTTCCATGTGTCACATGGAATATTTATTTAAAATGTATTTTAAAACTGGGTTTTCCAGTACTGTAGAATTTAAACATGTATCTTTAGCAGTCTTAACAAAAATGATTGGCAGCCTCTAACTTCACGTGCAGCCAGTTTCTCTTTTTCCCCCTAGTCCTGCCTTTTGATGCTTGCAGTCTCTATGCTCTACTTTTCTTGCACCTAATGAATTATTTTCCTTGAATCTGCCTTTTTTTTTAAAGGAGCCTTAGAGTTTGGCTGTTCAGTTTTATCATAATGCAAATGAAGTGACAAAGAGCACAGCAGTGTGGGTTGTATTAGGAAGACATTCTTCCTTTTTTCCATTCTGTGGAGGAGGATGAATGCAGTATTTTGAAAAACTTGGGATTCCAACAAAGGTGAATTGAGCATATGGTGCAGGGTTATATGAATAAAACCTTATATTTTTCTTACTAGGTGTTTGTGCAGATTTGTGCAAAATATGTTTGACTAGTATGTGGCTCTGTGTTTATTGGATCCAGACAGGGTGTTAGTTTTTTATTTTAAATGTACATGAATTCAGCCATTTGAATAAAGTAAGCAAATATGCATTAATGGTTACTGTAATGTCAAACTCACTATAATGAATACATGTTCATTATTTTTTTTCACAAAAATGGTGCCAACCTCTTTAAAACCATCTTCTGCTTCTCATATACTAATAGTCATTTTATTTCATTTACTTTGGAATGCATTTCATAGAATCTTTTAAAAGATATTCTGAAATCAGATACTGTATTAATGTAGAGAGATTTTAGTATACCATTTCACTAATTTATGTAATCAGACTAAATTTTTATAAGACACATTTTTGGAGTCTTGGCATCAAAAATTTACATGAAGAAAATTAATGAAACAATAGAACATTTGGAAGATTTTGTGAGTATACAAGAGATACAACAAATTAATGTGTTAGACGCTGCTAACACTTAAAAATCATCAGTTCTCTTAAGGAAACATAGTCAAAAGACATAATGCTCTATTAAAGCTCTCTTTTGAAATTGCTGTGGTAAAAGGAAAAGACAGCCTCAATTTGAGTTTGACTTCTAGTGATTACATACAATGATAATGTAGGTTTCTTGGCAACACTATGGAAACTTTTTGGTCTTGCTGCTATAGTTTTTTAATTATTTTCAGATTAACCTATAGTTTTGGGATTTCCCCTTGGCCTCTCATCCAGGTACTTTCAACCTAATTAGCTTTTTTGAAGTCAGCCTGATGCAGTTACCTGTGGTACATGAAGGTGCTTCAAAAAGTAATAATTCTGTTTGATTGATTGATTTAGCAGTGCATGTTTATTAATATTTTAGATATTAAGCGCATATTTTCTCTAAATTTCTATTTATTATGCACAGATGTTTATCAGGCAAAATATGTTTATTAAAAATTTTCTCAACATCAGAAATAAAAAGGCGTTGATTCATTAAAGATACAGAATTTGGAAAATGTCTGATAAAATAGCTATTGTAATTCAGTGGAATGCTTGTCAATAAATAAATGTAACAAAAGGTATATTTAATGATTTATAAAATGTGAAGAGAAATAAGGGAAAAATTAATTATGGAGATTATATGTGTTTTTAAGGAAGTATGATATTTAATTGAAAAGAAGTGTTAAAGATGTTAAGATTTTAATGATTATTAATGATAGAACTGAACTGGAATGGAATGAGGGTTTATAATTACATATATTTACAATCTTTTTTTTTTTTAAGAATATAGTGTGTATTATAAGAATGTGCTAAGCAGAATTTCAGTTTTTAGTAGCTCTTAGAGAAAATAGAAGGAAGAAAAAGCCTTTACTTTGTAAACACTCCATAGATGAGCCAGCAATTTTTTTTTAAATTCCATTGATAAAAAAAATTGACTTTGAAACTTTGTGTTTTCTTGGTTTAATTTTTGTTTATTTTTAACAGTATTATGCCACTTAGCTGCAATCACTTTTGTCCATTAGTTAGCTGCTGTTTAGTTAAAATGTGATGAGAACTAATTGGAAGTTGAACTTGCTGTTTTCATCATGGGATGATGAATGTCGGACTTCTCAGCAGATTCAGAAATGGGAAGTTGCTAAAATTCATGCTCTGGGATTGCCTTCATGAGGCTTATGACCCCAAGTGACGTTGTCCTAACACATGTGGTCAGTGTGCTTCCATGAATGTTGCAGCACTTCCCCTTGTGTTGGTGGAGACTAGTTACAAGTAGGACTCATAGCTGTTTCCCTAGGAATACAATGGAAAGAGTTTCAAATGCAACATAGCTGCATTCAGTGGCTTTCACCAACTATTAGAGTCACAATTTTATATTACAGCACTGCTAAATTAGCTTTTATCTACAATGTTGATCTACATCATGGTCAACAAAGATTCCTGTGAAAAGATCAGTGCTTTGGCAATATCAAGTGATACATCTGAATTCAAACTGCATCCTGAAGTCTTTTTTAGCTGCTTCTCTCAAGTTGTTCAGGTTTTGTTTGTAAAAGTAGTTTATCTCCCCACCCCAATAACCGAAGGCTCCAACTGACAAACCAGAAGGACATCATAGTCAATGGCACTCAACCTTGCCCAGAGGTCTCATGAGACCTGAAAGGACATACCTGCTTCATCCAGGTTCCAGTGAAGATAATGATCAGAGCAGCCACCCATGTTTCTATCCACTGACTGGATCAGAATCTTGAGTTAAAGGTTTCCTAAGTGGATCTTTTTGTTTGTTTCTTTTCTTTGCCTGCTCCTTCAGCTAATGCTGCTTCCCAACCAGCCTGTACCAGTAATCACTGTTCTGTTTCCTGAGTGAGCTCCTCACCTATTTTTATGTATAGTTCTGTGCTACTGTCGTATGCA